CTCCTTGATTGAGATAGTTATCTCGGTCAAAGAAAATTGAGGTATGACCAACTTTTTGAAATCTTTACCGAGCTGGTTAGCTCGGTAAAATAAGTTGGCAGGTTTGACCAACTTTGAAAGATCTTTGCTAAACTGGTTAACTCGGCAAAGTAGGGTTGGCAAGATTGTCTAACTATAAGAAATCTATGATTGAGCAATTTTGGTGAGTTCGGTTGGATGAAGCAAAGTAGCTCGGCTGGACAGAGTAATCCTAATCATGCACTGCAGATGGAATTAAGGGGCAATTGAGAGGGTAATTTGTGTAGCCAAATTGGGCTGAGTTAGGTTGGAATGGCGGTCAAAGATGTTTGACCGAACTAATAAATGTCCATATTTTTGGACCTAACTACGGGACCTAGCTACGAGACTGAACTATGGGTCCTAGCTACGGGACTGAGCTATGAGACCTAGCCACGAGACCTAGTTATGGGATTTAGCCACGAGACCTAGCTATAAAATGTAGATACGAGGCCTAGCTATGGGACCTAGCCATAGGACCAAGCTACGAGACCTAGCTACGGGACCAAGCTATGAGACCTAGCTACGAGGCCTAGCTATGGAACCTAGTCACGGGACCTAGCTACTTCCTAGTAGCGGTCAACATTATGGCTGAGCTACCAAGCAAGGTAGTCAAACAGAAAGGAGAGCCCAGCTAGGAGGAGTGCCGAGCTAGGATAAGAGCTATGCAATGTTAGCTTTCACGGTGTTGCGTGTTGCACAGCTAAGCCATTGGCAGACAGAGCAGACGTGGTCCAGTTAGGCAGTAAAAAGTCGAGCAAAGACTTGTGCCATCTCACTTGACTTGCAGTGAGGAGGGTGTTCTAAGGATAAACATTATCCTTAGGTATGAGATCCTTGGGAGGACTCTAAGGATAGTTAGAGTCCTGCTAGGATTGTGCTACGTGAAATTCTATAAAAGCTCATGACAGAATCTATGGATAGGTATGACAATTCTTATTCTCAAATATACAGAGCTTTTGTGTCTATTATCTTTTTGTTGACTTAGAAATTGGAGAGGTTCCCGGCATACACCCGCCGGCTAACTCACGTTTGTGTTTTCAGGTAGTAAAACGACGACGTTTGGAAGAGTGCAAACTTGATTAACAAGATTGTACGATAAAATTATTCTGTGCTCATACAACTGTGACACCCTGAATGTTTAATTAAAAATCACATAAATATTTATAATTATATATAATTATGATTGTATGTGATTATATATTATTAAATAAATAAATATATGAATCTAATTTGGCATTGGGTTATCAAATATGAGATTAATTAGGGATTATTATTAGGGCCTAATTAACATAAATATGGAATTATAATAGTAGTTGGGCCAAATTAGAGTTAAAGATAGTAAATAAATAAATATAAAAGTAAGAGTAAATAAATAAATAATAATACTAATAATAATAATAATTATGGGTGTGGTAGTAAAATAAATAATTAATTTTCTGTTGGTATACGATAAAGTGTAATTTAATTAGGGATTAATTTATTTATATAGTTATGCTAGAAAATTGGGCAAAAGTGTAATTACTATAAACATTCACTAAGATAAGTATAAATCTATGGTTAGTAATGAGCAAATCTAGGGAAGATTCGAGCTGGCCACGTGTTGGCCTGATGATGTTTTACCTCCCTATAAATAGGGAGGAGTTGATCAAATATGTGGGAAGAAAATGAAAGAAAAAAAAGAGAGAAAGGCACGTAAGTTACAGAAAGTAGGAAAGAGTCACCATAATATATTTTACATATGTTTTGACTTATCATAATTCATTTTATATAAGTTATGTTTTATAAATTATATTAATATTTCAATTATGTGAGTTGTTTTCTGAACTTTATTTGTTTAAAATAAAACACATAGATATGTTTGTTTAAATTTTAGTATATATTTGACTATAACCTTATAAATAATTATGTTTTGTAAGTACCACCACGGTAGTCCTACGCCTTGGGGGACTTAATAAGCATTGGCCTCTGTTTGGCCACTTTGTGGTCCTCTATTTGTCATGGATCCATTGACTTTTATTCTGACTGTCACTTCTGTGACATTTGTTCTATTCTGTTCTGTACCGTGGTTATAGTTATTTATTTATATAATTTTTGTGTTTCAGTTTCTACCACTTAAATGATTTATTCACCAAATTGAGTTATGTAAATGTTTTGGCCTAACTAATCATCCATGGTTATTTTGTATTTCCCTATACTCTTGGCATAATATTTCTCACTCTGCTGTGTGCTTATAGCTATTTCCCTTTCAGGTGACGAGATGAAGGGAAAATCCTTAACCTCACGTAATGGAACCCGCACGAGGATTGATGTTGAACCACTATTTTGTCTTTCTTTTCTTTTCTTTTTTAATTTTTTTGCTCCCTTTTGTTTCTACTTGGAGCCTGTCACTGAATAATAAAATAATAAAAGCCCTCTAGATGTATTTACTCTTATTAAAATAGTAAAATGAAGTAATTTCCTGTTTAATTATTTTTATTTTCGCTTGCGCAGTTTAATTTGATATGAATAGAATAAATTAATAAGTTGCAATTCCAACACTAAGCCCCTGGAGTTGGGTCGTGACAACAGCTACCATCTAGTCCTTTATGCTAATATAGTTAAGAGAAATTCTTAAAGTCACAAAAGTTTTTGGATCAAATTTGCCTCAAACATCGGTGAAAGATCCACCTCATCCATTAAAGCCAACTCAACTATTCTCATTATCAATATTATAAAGTAACCAAAAAAATATAAATAAATATAAATAAAAATAAATAAATAAAAGATAAAAAATTAATAAATTAAATTAAATTAAATTATTTATATGGACTTAGAATTAGTATTTATATGCATTTAATTACAACACTTAAAGCTGAAATAAAATATAATTTAAATTATATTTTTGAATTAGAAAGTGAATTAAATAGATTAAACTCTCTTTTGGCTATTGCTTCAGGACAATCTATAACAAATTATAACCAAAGAATTGCTAGTATTAAAAATAAATTATCATTAGAAAAGTCAAGTGTAGATTATCAACGAAAACTGTTAAAAGAGTTAATGATCTGTCGTGAATTAAATTAGATCCATTACAAATTGGTATTAGAGTCTGGTTTCTTGGTCTTGCCAATAATCCTTGCATGAGTATTAAATATAGTGAAGAAGTAAAATCTGATAACTTAAATAATAAGACTTCTTTACAAATTATAATAGAACAAAATAATACCTTAATTAGGCTATTAAAAGAAATTAACGAAAAACTTAGAATTAATCAATTAGAAATAATAAACGAAATTAGATATTTTGTACAAGATCTGGAAAAACAAGTAGCCTTTTTTAAAGAAAAACAAAAAGAGTTAGATCTATATCCCTATCTATATAGAGGAAATAATTCGAAGGAACCCTTTGAATTAGTTTGACCTGCAAAACAAAAGGATAATGGAGTTATGTAATTATAGCTTAAAACAGTTAGAAAAAATGGTTGAAAAATAAAATGATAATGAAATAAAATACAAGATAATATTACAAATAGATTAACTATTAGATATGGTAGATGAAGAAATAATAAAAGAAATAAATAATGAGAGAATAGAATTAGAAGATGATATCTATAAACAATTAGGATTAATCAGCTTGGGAGAAATGAAACACATTCCCCTTGAAGAATTAGAACAAATAATGGGAAATAATGAAGCAGAAAAAGAAAGAAAATTATGTACTAGAAAATTTCGAAGACCTAGAAAAAGATAATGCCTTAAAAGAAGAAACTAATTGTTGGAACAATCTTCTGTGTAAATAAAATAACTTGAAATAAATTCAATCAAAATAAATAAATAACATACCGGATTTATTTATCGAACCGAATTAAAATTAAGACCAAGTCAAGTGTGTGACACTCTGTCCTTAAGACAGATTTGCCCTGCTACGGTGCTTACGGTCGTGTGACGCCTATCTCCCAGGATATAATGATCTTCACAAAATTGTTGTAGCACACCAAACAAATTTGTACGGCAAACCAAACCTTGTGTTCTAAACTCTCTTTTATTTTTCCTAAAACTATAATGAAGAATAATGCACTAAAAGAAATCGGGACAGCAAAAACAAAAAATTGCAGACTCAATTTCGAGTGACCAAAAAACTGCAGGAATGATTTGTATTTATAGGCCATACTCCTGTTCGAACAGGTACCAAAAATGGAATGAATAGATGCACTTATAATTCAAACAATGAAAAGTGTCCGTTGGTTTGAACACACTTTCAAACAATTTGAATAGTGAACCGTAGGTGTAACAGTTATAAAACTGTTGTAACTTCAATTCTTTAAACCTTTGAAATATATATATATATATATTAAAGTATCTGAAAAGTTTAATAAATAAATAAAGAAGTACAAATTTTAGGAAACAACTTAGGAACCCAAAATTTGAATTTAGAATTAAATTAAATTCCCACAATTGCAAACTTTAGGAAACCACATAGGAACCCAAAATTTGAATTTTAGAATTAAATTAAATTCCCACAATAATTTTTATTAAAAAAATTCAAAAGAATTTTTATCTAAAAAATTAATTTTAAACCTGAAAACGACGTCAACTTCCCATTCACTCATAAATGGTTTTGACGTTCCGTCTTCACTATGTGACTTGCCACGCGGCAAGGAATACGTCACCTCTTCGGACCCATCCCAAAAGACGTTTGGGGCCACTCAAATTTGGGCTCAACAAAACGCCTATAATAAACCATTTATCCAACAATCCCCCACATGAATGGAATTTGACGGAGAGAAAATGCAACAACATGATCTAATTACAGAGAGTACAGAAATTGGTAATATTCTGCAAAGGATAGGTAGCTTTTGGCTTTGAACCTTCCCTTGTGAGACACTATCGGATTTACTAGCTAACCAGTGAACATGATGTCTTGAACTGTTCAGCCGTTTGTGTAAACCAAGACAATAGAACTCACACAGTATATCCAGACAGATTAAGAGAGTAAAGATTTGTCAATTGATCTAGAGACAATGGAATTCGACCTGTGAGGAAGTTGCTGCTCAAGTCCAAGTAAGACAAGTGCGTCAAATCTCTTATCTCTTGAGGGATGGAACCGCCGAGTTGATTTGAAGAAAGATCTAAATATGTCAAATTGATCAATTCACCCAACAATGAAGAGATTGGACCACTAAGTATGTTATGACCCACATAAATCACTTGCAAATTCTTTAGTTTCCAAATCTCTTGAGGGATGGAGCCGCTAATTCTATTTGAAGAGAGATCTAGAAAGATCAAGTTGGTCAATAGACCAAAAGATGAAGGGATTGGACCACTAAACATGTTATCAGGCATAGAAATCTCTCGCAAATTCTTTAGCTTCCATATTACTGGAGGGATGGAACCATTGAATTGATTTGAAGAAAGATACAAAAGGATCAGATTGGTCAATTGACCAATGTATGAAGGGATTGGACCACTAAGCATATTTGATCTCATATCTAGGCTAACCAAAGTTTTTGGCTTTCTTATTTCTGGAGGAATGGAACCGCTGATAATATTTAAAGAGAGATCGAGAGAAGTCAAACTAGTTAATTGACTAATAGATGAAGGCATTGGACCATTAAGCATGTTATATCCCATATCCAATTTAACCAAATTCTTTAATTTTCCTATTTCAAGAGGGATAGAACCACTTATATGATTTGTAGAGAGATCCAGATAAGTCAAATTGGTTAATTTACAAATTCATGGAGGTATTGGACCACTTGAGTTGTTAGAACTCATATCCATCACAACCAAATTCTTCAGATTTCCTATTTCTGAAGGGATGGAAATGTTGAGTAGATTTGAATGGAGATCCAAAAAGATTAGATTGGTTAATTGACCAATACCTGAAGGAATGGGACCACTGATTTGAGAGATATCTTAGAACCCTTATAATTGCTTTCCAGTGTTCTACTCCCGGATTACTCGTATATCTACTTAATTTACTTACTACATAAGCTATATCTGGGCGAGTGCAGTTCATCAAGTACATTAAGCTTCCAATAATTTGGGCATACTCTAATTGAGAAATACTTTCCTGTACATTCCTAGAAAGATACAAATTAACATCTACAGGAGTTCTAACAAGATGATCATCATCTTTGCTGAATTTGTCAAGTATTTTCTCAATGTAATGAGATTGTGACAAAACATATTGTTCTGATGTTTTGGTAATTTTCATAGCAAGAATTACATCAGCAATGCCCATGTCCTTCGTGTCAAAATGTTTATTCAACATTTTCTTAGTAGTTTTAATCATATCATTATTACTACCAATGATGAGCATATCATCCACATAAAGGCATACAATGACATAACCTTTGTCTGTGTTTTTAATATAAACACATTTGTCACACTCATTAATTTTAAATCCATTTGACATCATTGCCTTGTCAAATTTCTCATGCCTTTGCTTTGGCGCTTGTTTTAAACCATATAATGATTTAACCAATTTACACACTTTCTTTTCTTTCCCTAGAACAGAAAACCCTTCTGGTTGTTCCATGTAAATTTCTTCCTCTAACTCACCATTTAAGAAAGTGGTTTTCACATCCATTGGATGAATTTCTAGATTGTATAGAGATGCAATGGCAATTAGCATTCTAATGGATATTATTCTAGTAACCGGTGAGTATATGTCAAAGTAATCAAGACCTTCTTTTTGTCTAAAACCTTTGACTACAAGTCTTGCCTTGTATTTGTCTATTGATCCATCCCCTTTCAATTTTCTTTTGAAAATCCACTTGTAACCAAGAGGTTTACAACCTGGTGGCAAATCCACCAATTCCCAAGTGTGATTTTACAAGATGGATTCAACTTCACTGTTGACAGCTTCTTTCCATAAAGGAGCTTCAGGACTGGACATAGCCTCTTTAAAAGTTAAAGGCTCATTTTCTAACAAATATGTTAGAAAATCTGGACCAAAAGATTTTGAGGTTCTAGCACGTTTACTACGTCTAGGTTCCTCTTCCTCATTTTGATCTAACTCTTGCTTTTGATCATTTTCTTGATCATTACTAGTAATAGCATCAAAAGATCTCTTATTATTACTAGTTTCTTGTCCAGTCTTATTTGGAAATACATGTTCAAAGAAAGATGCATTTTGAGATTCAATAATAGTACTTACATGCATTTCAGAATGTTCTGATTTATGAATCAAAAACCGATATGCACTACTATTCTTGGCATAACCAATGAAAATGCAATCAATGGTCTTAGGACCTATCTTAGTCTTTTTAGGACTAGGAATAGCCACTTTAGCCAAACACCCCCACACTTTTAAGTATTTGTAGGATGGCACTCTTCCATGCCACAATTCATAAGATGTTTGATTCACTTTCTTTCGGGGTACTTTATTTAAAATATAATTAGCAGAAAGTATTGCTTCCCCCCACAAGTTCTGAGGTAATCCAGAACTTTCTGTAAAATAAAAGAAATAAAAACTATAACTGCTATTTTTCAATAATTTGGAAATAAAATAAAATTTTATTTAACCAAATTAATTCCACACAAGAAATTAAATTCTGTAAAATAAAAGAAATAAAAACTATAACTGCTATTTTTCAATAATTTGGAAATAAAATAAAATTTTATTTAACCAAATTAATTCCACACAAGAAATTAAATTCTGTAAAATAAAAGAAATAAAAACTATAACTGCTATTTTTCAATAATTTGGAAATAAAATAAAATTTTATTTAACCAAATTAATTCCACACAAGAAATTAAATTCTGTAAAATAAAAGAAATAAAAACTATAACTGCTATTTTTCAATAATTTGGAAATAAAATAAAATTTTATTTAACCAAATTAATTCCACACAAGAAATTAAATTCTGTAAAATAAAAGAAATAAAAACTATAACTGCTATTTTTCAATAATTTGGAAATAAAATAAAATTTTATTTAACCAAATTAATTCCACACAAGAAATTAAATTCTGTAAAATAAAAGAAATAAAAACTATAACTGCTATTTTTCAATAATTTGGAAATAAAATAAAATTTTATTTAACCAAATTAATTCCACACAAGAAATTAAATTCTGTAAAATAAAAGAAATAAAAACTATAACTGCTATTTTTCAATAATTTGGAAATAAAATAAAATTTTATTTAACCAAATTAATTCCACACAAGAAATTAAATTCTGTAAAATAAAAGAAATAAAAACTATAACTGCTATTTTTCAATAATTTGGAAATAAAATAAAATTTTATTTAACCAAATTAATTCCACACAAGAAATTAAATTCTGTAAAATAAAAGAAATAAAAACTATAACTGCTATTTTTCAATAATTTGGAAATAAAATAAAATTTTATTTAACCAAATTAATTCCACACAAGAAATTAAATTCTGTAAAATAAAAGAAATAAAAACTATAACTGCTATTTTTCAATAATTTGGAAATAAAATAAAATTTTATTTAACCAAATTAATTCCACACAAGAAATTAAATTCTGTAAAATAAAAGAAATAAAAACTATAACTGCTATTTTTCAATAATTTGGAAATAAAATAAAATTTTATTTAACCAAATTAATTCCACACAAGAAATTAAATTCTGTAAAATAAAAGAAATAAAAACTATAACTGCTATTTTTCAATAATTTGGAAATAAAATAAAATTTTATTTAACCAAATTAATTCCACACAAGAAATTAAATTCTGTAAAATAAAAGAAATAAAAACTATAACTGCTATTTTTCAATAATTTGGAAATAAAATAAAATTTTATTTAACCAAATTAATTCCACACAAGAAATTAAATTCTGTAAAATAAAAGAAATAAAAACTATAACTGCTATTTTTCAATAATTTGGAAATAAAATAAAATTTTATTTAACCAAATTAATTCCACACAAGAAATTAAATTCTGTAAAATAAAAGAAATAAAAACTATAACTGCTATTTTTCAATAATTTGGAAATAAAATAAAATTTTATTTAACCAAATTAATTCCACACAAGAAATTAAATTCTGTAAAATAAAAGAAATAAAAACTATAACTGCTATTTTTCAATAATTTGGAAATAAAATAAAATTTTATTTAACCAAATTAATTCCACACAAGAAATTAAATTCTGTAAAATAAAAGAAATAAAAACTATAACTGCTATTTTTCAATAATTTGGAAATAAAATAAAATTTTATTTAACCAAATTAATTCCACACAAGAAATTAAATTCTGTAAAATAAAAGAAATAAAAACTATAACTGCTATTTTTCAATAATTTGGAAATAAAATAAAATTTTATTTAACCAAATTAATTCCACACAAGAAATTAAATTCTGTAAAATAAAAGAAATAAGAAAATAACTTTTATTTTTCAATTAATTTGGAAATAAAATAAAATTTTATTTAACCAAATTAATTCCACACAAGAAATTAAATTCTGTAAAATAAAAGAAATAAGAAAATAACTTTTATTTTTCAATTAATTTGGAAATAAAATAAAATTTTATTCAACCAAATTAATTCCACACAGAAAATTAATTTCTGTAGCACTTCAATAATTAAAATACTAAAACAGAATTTTAAGTAATGAAAACTCAGAAAATAATTTCTAAAACCCAAAATTAATTTCTGAAAAATTCCACAAAAATATATTCTGAATTGTTAATGACACCAGTATCGTACTACTAGTTGTTGTCAAAGAAAAGAGACAGTATATTACTACTATCTGTAAAATAGCATATAATCACTATTTGTTTTTCCAACCAGAATATTATTTTATAAATCCACAGAAAATAATTTTCTTCCAAAATTATTTACAAAGAATGAAAAAGGGAAACAAACGAAAAATTCTGTAAACAGAATAATTTAAATTCTGTAAACAAAAAATTGCAGACTCAGTTTCGGGTGACCAAAAAATTGCAGGAATGATTTGTATTTATAGGCCATACTCCTGTCCGAACAGGTACCAAAAATGGAATGAACAGATGCACTTATAATTCAAATAATGAAAAGTGTCCGTTGGTTTGAACACACTTTCAAACAATTTGAATAGTGAACCGTAGGTGTAATAGTTATAAAACTGTTGTATCTTCTATTCTTTAAACCTTTGAAATATATATATTAAATTATCTGAAAAGTTTAATAAATAAAGAAAGAGATACAAATTTTAGGAAACTACTTAGGAACCCAAAATTTGAATTTAGAATTAAATTAAATGCCCACGATTGCAAACTTTAGGAAACCACTTAGGAACCTAAAGTTTGAATTTTAGAATTAAATTAAATTCCTGTAATAGTTATAAAACTGTTGTATCTTCTATTCTTTAAACCTTTGAAATATATATATTAAATTATCTGAAAAGTTTAATAAATAAAGAAAGAGATACAAATTTTAGGAAACTACTTAGGAACCCAAAATTTGAATTTAGAATTAAATTAAATGCCCACAATTGCAAACTTTAGGAAACCACTTAGGAACCTAAAGTTTGAATTTAGAATTAAATTAAATTCCCATAATAATTTTTATTGAAAAAATTCAAAAGAATTTTTATCTAAAAAATTAATGTTAAACCCGAAAACGACGTCAACTTTCCATTCACTCATAAATGGTTTTGACGTTCCGTTTTCACCGTGTGACT